CAGCCACCGCCGTGAACATTCAAATGCTCTGTTTGGCTCCTCTGCTTCTATCTCTCGTGTCATATGCTCTTATTAATATGCATATAGAGATCTTGTGATGTATGCATACACAAGAAAACAATTTTGTGTTCCATGGTTTTTCTACATGGTGATGTAACAATTATTTTTTCTTCTACTTTCTATATGATGTAAAATTTTCGTTTGTAAGGACAATTTATTTGTGGGTTAATTTGAGTTTGCATCCCATTTTTTAAAATCTTTGTTTATACACCCCCAACCCCTTATGAATACAAAAATGCCCTTCCACTAACAATTTTGTTGGCCTTCAACATATTTCTGATCGAGGGGCATTTTTGTCTTTCCATACGGGGTTGGGGTGAAAAAACAAATATTTTTAAAAACGGGATGCAAAGTCCAATTTGAACAATAAAATGGGGTGCAAACTCAAATTATCTCTTTCTAAGAGAAAGCTTAATATTACTATTTAGAGATGTCTTAATGGGTTCATAACTATACCTACACTCAATATGTGTACATTGCTCATGAAAAAATTCTCTCTTTATATTATAAAGAAGGTGAATGTTACGGTACCGATTAGAAAACAAAGGTACCATACCTACTATATACAAGTATTCATTTCATTTGTACAACTCATTATCTGGTACTACTAAAAGTTCAAAGATAATAAAGCTTTAATGAAATTCAAAGATGATAAAGCTTTAAAGGAGTAGAGGTGACAGGTGGCAAAGGGTCTCGATTGTGTCTGTTAACATGCCCAGCAAATGGGCCAAAACAAGGTAAAAAAAAATCATCTCATCGTGTATACAATATCATAGGGACAGCTAATGAGGAAGCATAAACATCATGAAGATTTTCGAATGGGCTAGAAAACCCGCACGGGTAGCTCAGTTGGTCGAGTGGTGGGAGATTTGGAACAATGGACCAAGGTTCGAATCCCCGCAGTGATCGGGTGGAGGTCACAGAACCTGAAATAAGGTTGAGCCTCTGGTGCGCACGGTGATGGATATTCATATACATATCAACAAGGCTCCATATGCAATATATATATAAATATATAATAGCTAAATCCATATAAATCCATGAAATCAAATATGTATGAAATAAGATTAGAACAATACCTTGAGAATTCATTTGCATTAACACTTTAGGAAGACTTAGGAATCCAACACGATTGATCGGCCTAACCTTCCAATGCTATGTAGCTTATGAGATAAAGCTTAATCCTATAATTGATGGGTATTTATAGGACTAATTTGAGAATAGTAACGGTTAACCTTTCTAATTCCTACATTATTGCTACAATAAGTAGAATAATTTATTAGGCTATTTTCCGTTACTATGTCGTTACAATTATCTCGTTATTTACATGCATCGGGGGTCATAACCGTTGTATCACTTTAGTATAATATATTTAATTTGACCCGTCACCAAAAGAAATATATTATCCCAGTATCTACACTTTTATTATTTCATGAATAGCCACTGTATTATTTATCTGATGGTAAACACATTTTAATTAATTACATATTAGGCCCCTTTTTTATTGTTTTCCAACAATCTCCCACTGGGCCTTATATGTAATTCTTAATAAAATGTGTTATCTTTATGAGCTCAAAAATACCATCATATAAAACATCCTTAAACAATCTGGTCCATCAGTCACACTAATATAGAACCATTGCAGCATTTTGTTATGTTAAACATAACTATACCAGCAATGATTACTAGTATTAATATAACATAATCACATAGATCAATCATGAAATGTGTAGCATGAAAATTACATGAAATGTGGCATGTGTACATGTCAATTTTCAACTGACCCTTCTTTAATAAACTTTAATAACTTAATTGTTCAGAACACACCAAATGTCTAACTTTATTCTGATCAGAAAACAAATACATCAAACATAACTTATGAACTCCCACTAAACTCGATGTTCCTTAAAATCAATGACTCCCAAGTGAGCAATGTGCTCATGAAAAACTTTTGGTGGGATACCCTTGGTTAAAGGATCCGCTAGCATGGAGTTTGTACTTATATGTTCAATAGTGACCCTTTTATTCTGAACCCTCTCTTTAATAGCTCGGTATTTCACTTCAATATGTTTTGTCTTACTCGAGCTCTTGTTGTTGTTAGAGTAAAGCACCGTAGAATTGTTGTCACAAAATATCTTGATAGGCTTTGGAACTTCATTTAATATTTTAATCCCATCAATAAAATTGCGCATCCATATTCCATGGTTCGAAGCTTCAAAACAGGCCAACAACTCTGCCTCCATAGTTGAGGTAGCTATCATATCTTGCTTAACACTTTTCCAAGATATAGCACCACACGCTAGCAGAAAAACATAACTTGTAGTAGATCTACTAGTGTCTTTGCAGCCGGCAAAATCAGAGTCGGAGTATCCAACGACCTCCAAATGATCTGATTTTCTATATGTAAGCATATAGTCCCTTGTTCTCTTCAAGTATCTCATTACTCTTTTGGCCGCCACCCAATGAGCCATTCCTGGATTACTGAGATATCTGCCTAGCATCCCAACAATGTACGCAATATCCGGACGCGTACAAACTTGGGCATACATAAGACTTCCTACAACAGATGCGTAGGGAATCTTTTTCATTTCTTGAATTTCCAGATTTGTTTTAGGGCACTGATCGAGACTAAACTTGTCTCCTTTAGAGATAGGGGTATCACCCAGTCTACAATCTTCCATGCCAAATCTTTTAAGAACTTTATCGATATAGTTCTTTTGTGATAACCTTAAGATTCCTTGTGATCTCTCACGAAGGATTTCAATTCCTAATACAAAGGAGGCTTCACCAAGATCTTTCATTTCAAAATGTTTTGATAGAAATCTCTTGGTTTCATGCAACATGCCTATGTCGTTAGTGGCAAGAATAATGTCATCAACATATAAGACCAGGAAAAAGATTTTACTCCCATTGAATTTATGATATACACAATCATCTACATCATTCATCTTAAAACCAAAGGATAAAATGACTTGATGAAATTTGTGATACCATTGACGAGAAGCCTGTTTCAGCCCATAGATGGATTTTGTTAATTTGCAAACCATTTGTTTTGGATCTCCTATCACAAAATTTTCTGGTTGCACCATATAAATAGTTTCATCAATGTCGCCATTGAGAAACGCTGTCTTAACATCCATCTGATGAAGCTCTAAATTAAAATGTGCAACTAAAGACATAATGATTCTAAAAGAGTCCTTTGATGAAACTGGAGAAAAGGTCTCTTTATAATCAATTCCTTCCTTTTGAGTGTAACCTTTAGCTACAAGACGAGCTTTATATCTCTCCACATTACCCCTTGAATCCCTTTTGGTTTTAAATATCCATTTACAACCAACGGGTTTACAACCTTCAGGTAATGGGACGAGTTCCCAAACTTTATTGTCTTGCATAGATTTATATTCTTCATTCATTGCCACAATCCACTTTTGAGAATTTGAACTTTTCATGGCTTGATGGAAGTTGATTGGATCATCTTCCATAACACCATTTTCTTCCTCATGTTCTTGAATAAACACAAGGACATCATTCACTGTATCCATGCTTGACACATGTTCTTGGAGATATACAACATAATCACTTGGAATTGCATATCTCCTTTCTCTAGCGGATCGCCGCAATGGCACATTTTCTTGTTGCACTTGTTCTAGAGGAAGTTGAGTTTGTTCATTTTGAATAATTTGTTCAGTTTGGATAGAAGAAGATGAAATAATGCCTTGTTGAGGTTCTTCATTAGTTTCAAAAGAAACATCCATATGAATTGGTTCAGGTATTGAAATCAATTCTTCCTCAAAGACAATATCCCTAACTTTATTCTTCCCCCCAAACTCAACATCCTCGAAAAATATGGCAGTTCCCGTTTCAAAAATATTTTTATCCTCAGGATTATAAAATTTATATCCCCTAGATCGTTCCGAGTAACCAATAAAGTAACTACTAACTGTTTTGGGTTCCAGTTTCTTTTCATGCGGTCTATACGGCTTTGCCTCGGCTGGACAACCCCAAATATGAAAATGCTTTAAACTAGGCTTTTTACCCGTCCAAAGCTCATAAGGTGTTTTAGTAGTTGCTTTAGTTGGCACTCGATTAAGAATGTAAGCTGCAGTCTTTAATGCCTCACCCCAGAGGGATTCAGGTAAGATAGAATGAGAAATCATACTTCTTACCATTTCCTTAAGGGTTCTATTACGTCTCTCAGCTACGCCATTCATGCTAGGTGAACCCGGCATGGTGTATTGAGGGACAATCCCACATTCCTCTAGAAATTTGGCAAAAGGCCCTGGACGTTGTTCACCTGAGCCGTCATACCTCCCATAGTATTCACCACCACGGTCGGATTTGACTTTCTTTATGCGTTTGTTGAGTTGATTCTCAACTTCTGATTTGTAAGATTTAAACACGTCCAAGACTTGAGATTTTTTATGTATAAGAAATAAGTATGCATATCTAGAGTAATCGTCTATGAATGACACAAAATATTGTTGACCATTCCATGAAGGAGTAGGAAATGGCCCACAAATATCCGTGTGTATTAATTCTAAGACATCCATAGCTCTATATGCACCTTTTTTCTTAATTTTGGTTTGTTTTCCTTTAATGCACTCAATACAAGTATTGAAATCAGAAAAATCAATGGAATTAAGTGTTCCATCAGACACAAGACGTTCAACTCTATTTTTAGAGATGTGACCTAATCGTTTGTGCCATAAAAAACCAGATTGTGCATTATCAACCTTTCGCTTAGTGCCTCGGGTGTCAATATTCAAAACATTATTATATGAAGTTATTGTTTCAAGCATGTAAAGATTGTCATATGACATAAAAGAACCAGTCCCTACTATACTTGAATTTAAAGACAAATGAAACCGAAAGTTTCTAAATGAACAATGATAACCCAATTTGTCCAAATAAGAAACAGAAACCAAATTCCGCCTAAATGACGGAACAACAAAAGTGTCTTTTAAATCCAAATAGAAACCAGTAGACAATAACAATCTAAAATGCCCAATAGCCTCCACATGCACCGCTTTGCCATCTCCCACATAGACACATCTTTCAGCATCATTTGGCTTGCGGTGGCTCAGACAACCCTGCATAGAAATACTGATGTTAGATGTTGAACCGGAGTCTAACCACCAAGTATTTCTAGGCACTGAAGCTAAATTGTTTTCAGTACAAACCAAGGTAAGGACCGTACCTTTCTTCACTTTCCAAGCGTGATACTTGGTACAATCCTTCTTCATGTGTCCAGACTTCTTACAGAAGAAACAAGTTGTTTCACCTTCCTTATGTTTCTTCTGTACTGGACCTTTAGCAACTTCATTCTTAATGGGAGTTCTATTCCTCTTTTTACCCTTATCCTTAGAGGTACTAGCCAAGTGAGCACTTTCTGTCTTATTTTGTTTCATCCTCTCTTCCTCTTGCACGCAATATGAAATGAGCTCGTTAAGAGATCACTTCTCCTTCTGGCAGTTATAACTAACTTTAAAAGGATCAAATGCAATAGGAAGAGAGTTCAAGACTATGTGTACGAGAACATCTTCCGATATCTCAATCTTAAGTGTCTTGAGCCTAGAAACAATATAAGACATTTCCATAATATACTCCCTTATATTTCCTTTTCCTGAATACCTTTTGGAAGTAAAGTCTTTTAACAACATGCTTATTTCCGCCTTATCGCTTTTAACAAAACGTTTCTCAATTTCAGAAAGGAAATCCTTGGCATTAGTAACCTCATCGGATACAGCTCCCCTAAAGGATTCTGGAATGCCACGCTTTATGATCATAAGACTTAAGCGATTCGAGCGATCCCACTTCTCATAGTACCTTTTTTCATCTTGGGTACTAGCATCCGTAAGAGAAGCGGGTTGCTCTACCCTTAATGCTAAGTCAAGATCCATGCAGCCCAAAGTTATTAGAATATTTTCTTTCCATTCCTTAAAATTAGTACCATTTAGGACAGGGATGGAGTTGAGATTGGCAGATATGCTCGCAAAATTAACTGTGGAAAGAACAAGGATAACAAACATATGTTTTAGTGAAATTGTAAAATGATTTTAACCCATCACAAGATACCAAATGCACCATTAGTATTTCATCTTTGGACAATAATACTAATTGCTAGTGGTACTCTTGTTGTAACAATAAAATATAACAATAATACATATAAAAGAAAAATCCACCTTTGGGTTGATTTTTTTTTTTTCTTTTAAAGTGAAGCCTTATAATTGTTATATATTTATTATTACCAAAATGTATATATATATATATAACTTGATAAAATATTAATCTTCCTTTGGGCCGATTAATATTTACTTGAACTATATATACTATGTTTACTATTTTATATGAGCAACTTACACAATAGGATCACTTTGGTGACATATTGTTTCTATATACTCATTTTAAATATTAAACTTCCTTTTATTTTACAATTTCCCTTCAAAAATATACGTAGTGTATAACTTCGAAAATAAGTGCGGCAAATAACTTCGAAAAGATTTGCACATGAACAACGACAATTGATATTTCATTGAATTGACTTGATTCAAAAAAAAAAAATCTTTAATGAAAGCAAATTTGAAAAAAAAAACAAAAAATTCACCCAGACACAATTCAATGCAAACATACTTGTTACATCCGAGCATTAAAGAAATACAAAAAAAACGCTTGCCAATCTTGACATAGCTAGTGCTAGACAAATTCCACTTGTGAATAAAATATTCAATTACTCCGTAACAGTTTAGCAGTATTAATGCAGAGGCCAAAAAAATTCATGCCAAAATGAAGCATTAAAGATTGAGACATGCAGCGGGAAGTAAAAAAAAATTAACAAATCATTAATCAATCAATAATTATACATACATGAAACGGTTCTTTCTTAATAAACATACTTAATACGGAGTACTTTCAAACATCAACTTGATTCAAAATCCAATAACCAATGAACTCACAACTCAATACAGTCGTACTATATCATTAAAGGTCTAAAAAGATGACTTAATTCATAATATAGCAGCATTATATATACTAATACGAGTATATGTGTAAGCATGTATGTTCATAGGATTAGACTGCACCCTTGCAAATAAAGGGCATAAACCATTTCATATAGCTTAAAAAAAAATTATCCACTACGAGTAAGAATGGAGTACAATTACTATTCAATAGTACCATATATGCCTATACACTCAATTATTGATATGATACCACAATTTTATATCAGTAGTATATTATATCAATACTAAAGTAAAGTTTTATAGACAAAATTTAAAATACTTGACTGGTAACAATTAAACATGCAGCGGAAAAGTTCCGGTCGGTAAAAAAAAAACTCACAAATCATCACTGCACTTATCCAACGATCACGGGCACATACATGATCAAAACGGTTCATACAAAAAAACTTCGGATATCACCAGTTCAAATGAAATTCCAAATATATCGATGAATACATATGCTGATTAAGGATGAATTCCATGAATTTATAATGGTAGGCTCTGATACCAATTGATGGATATTCATATACATATCAACAAGGCTCCATATGCAATATATATATAAATATATAATAGCTAAATCCATATAAATCCATGAAATCAAATATGTATGAAATAAGATTAGAACAATACCTTGAGAATTCATTTGCATTAACACTTTAGGAAGACTTAGGAATCCAACACGATTGATCGGCCTAACCTTCCAATGCTATGTAGCTTATGAGATAAAGCTTAATCCTATAATTGATGGGTATTTATAGGACTAATTTGAGAATAGTAACGGTTAACCTTTCTAATTCCTACATTATTGCTACAATAAGTAGAATAATTTATTAGGCTATTTTCCGTTACTATGTCGTTACAATTATCTCGTTATTTACATGCATCGGGGGTCATAACCGTTGTATCACTTTAGTATAATATATTTAATTTGACCCGTCACCAAAAGAAATATATTATCTCAGTATCTACACTTTTATTATTTCATGAATAGCCACTGTATTATTTATCTGATGGTAAACACATTTTAATTAATTACATATTAGGCCCCTTTTTTATTGTTTTCCAACACACGGGTGTATGAGCCTACTGCCATTCTGCTGACTGAGTCACCGTGACTAACCTCCCCACCATCCTGTCGGGTCGGGGTGGGGGGTTCCTGGGGTGGGAGATTCCACCTTTTTTAGGAACAATCGAATGGGCTAGAAAATGATCGACTTCTCCAAAGTAATTCAATGAAGAAATAATACACCAATAAGGTTAAAATTGGAGTTTGGGAATGTGAATGTTATACTCTGTACTAGAGCCACTTCTTGTATACAATATGTATACATTTTTTTGTGTATACAAACAATTATAGACAATTGCAGACTTTTTCTTAACGAGCGATTTGTATACACAAATAATTTGGGGTAATTTTCACAAAAAGATTAAAAATGAAAATAATATCACTTTTATCAACTTTCACATTTTATTTCAAATAATAGACTGGTACGGTTCTCTTTTTCAAAAATAGTTGTTCGCTGGTCGTCTTTTCTACGCAGGAAGCCATCGATGTAACACTTGATATTTAATTTAAATGGATTAATAGTACTACTCATACCAACAAGGTGCATCTCCTTTTAAGGGACGTATGTCCCCACGGAGCAATACGAACGTCCCCAAGGACGTATGTCCCCGGCAGACCAGCAAGGCCCAATTGCAAGACGTACGTACAGAACCTTGACCTTGGGAGCAGGCAGGACACAGGAGGCAAGCTCATGGGGACGAACATTCCCACCCCTTGGCAGAAAGCCAAGATCCTGGCAGGACACAGGAGGCAAGCTCATGGGGACGAACATCTCCACTCCTTGGCAGGAAGCCAATATTCTGGCGGGAAGCAGGAGGCAAACTCATGGAGATGAACAGAGACAAGTTCATGGGGACGAACGTGCCAAAATCCTGGACAATTGCGTGTCTCGTGATACAGGAGGAGGTGAGCAGATGTCTTGAAATAAAAAACAAGAGTGAAAATAAAAAAGTTAAATGTGAAAAGAAAAGGCAGTTGGGACTTGTGACATTAATGATAGGATATTGTAGAAACTAGACCTTCCGGGTAATTACCACTAATGTGTTACTGGACAAACGTAATTAGTATGATTAGTTAAAAAAAAAAAAAAAGATTGCCCATGGATATATAGTAAGACAGGGAGTAATAGATACGGAGTATTATTTAACCACGCTCAAAGTGTACAAATGGAAACATTACTTCACCCCTGCATGGGTATTTAGTTGGCTCTAGAGGTGAGAATTTGGTATACGGATCGTCGGGATCGGACTCGTGATTTGGTTTAATTCCTCCGATGGTGATATGGGCAATGGCGTATCCAAAAAAATATTATATTGCCACACACCCAATGAACTACTTGGGAGAGAAGCATCCCTTGCGTTCTGACCATTGTGATTCTATGAAACCTGTCTCTTACAAGTTAGTTGTGGTACCTATATATACACAATAAGCATAAATGTGTACATCATGTATATTTTGTATATTGGGTGATGGTTGAGGTAGTCTTGAGGGGAGCCCCCCCCCCCCCCCCACTTCCATTGAATCCGCCACTGTGTAGCGATATAATCTTGGGGTTTATCCCTGAATATTACTAAATTGAAGTCAATTTCCAAAAATGTGACTACTTTTAAATTTTGACAAAAATGTGACTAACAAGGTTATATATTTGGAAAAAGATTATGTCACTGTAATATTTTTTGTCACTGCGTGTTTTTATGTCACTAAGAACTGTCACTGTCGGATTTTCGTGTCACTAATGTATGTCACTATCCCATTAATCAGGTCACTGAGCTCGATAGGTGTATTGCGCGCATGAGCTCGATCTGGTGGTGGCGATTTGAAATCAAATCTAAATCAACATCTTGATACGTAGAGTTGCTCTAGAGGAAGAAAGAAAGAACGGTGATGAGCTCCATCGATGAATTCACGCAAGAGGTTGGGGTTGGGAACGGGTAACATTTTTGTCCACACCCAAATTAGTGATATTTTTGTTTATGGAAACTCTAGATGTAATATTTAGGTCATTATTTCTATAATCTTTGGGCTCAGTTAAGACACCGGCCATGATTTAATCTTTCACTTACTTTGTCGGATTTGGGTGAGCAATTATTACACCTTGTTTTGGTACATGCATGAGGGCTGCATCACTCTTAATGTCATAGTTTATCATGTATATCTAAAGGTGAATTCATGCACACTTTATACGATAAACATTATACACGCTATTCAAACACCTAAATGCATTATATTATGGATAACTAAAAGTGAATAATTTTGATAACCTTTTTAAAGAATCTTGAAAAGGAGATATGGACTATGAAAGTTTGTACGTAGTATATTTTTTGTTTAAAATTAGTTGGTAGTTATAGAAATTTAAAATTATGAGATATTTGATCACTCATTGTTAAATTGGTTAGTCTATTTTATTAAGTGTAACATATTAAAAGATAGATGTGGACCTTAGAGCATCTCCAATACACAGTGCGTCAGTGCCCATGTAGCATAAGAGATAGCCACATGAATATACAGAGTAGTAAATAAATTATTTCTCTTCTTATTTGAATGATTTTATACAAATTTGGTAATTTTTTTTCTACAATGTCAAGAAGACCATCTACATGTATACATTGTGGTTGACATGGTTAAGAAATACTTACCAGAGTAATATAAAATCATTCAAATAAGAAGAAAGATAATTGATTTAATAGTATTTACGTTGCTATATGTGATGCCACATGTGCGCCGTGCACATTGTAGAATTAGAGTTGCTCTTACCATCTTCATGTGGTTGCATTCTTCAGATAAAATGTGACTTCAATTACTACCAATATAAAAAAGTACACTACGTGACACCAAATATACAAAGTATTTTAATTTGTATGGATAGTGTTTTATGATTGCTTCCATTAGTTCCTTGCACCATGACTAATGTTTTGTTAAAGATCTAAAATAACACCATGAAATAAAGTCGGAATACTTTCTCTTACTCTATATGTAAATTAACATTTACTTTACTCTACCGGAGAGCACTAAACATACGGTAAGTAGCCGAGAAATTACCTAATGAAGTTTGGAATTCCAAAATAGAATTACTATGTTTTTCTTTCCGAAATAAGAGTTATTACTGTCATGAAAAATACTATCAGCCTACCATGATTGAAAAATACTGTCATTAATTATAATAAATATTGTCATGCTAACTGCACTATACTGCAACTATTTGGTAGTCATGTCTATCAGATGGCATAAATACTGCCATGTTAATCCTATTTCGAGAATAAAAACATAGTAATCCAATTTTGGAATTTCAAACTTCATTTACTCCTATTTTGGAAAATCTGCCTAAGTAGCCCTATTTTATTCGTATACTTTTTTTTAACAATTTCAAATTTTCAATCACCTTCATAAATCGAACTCCTCTAGCTTTTTTATTTTCATCATCTTTCATGATGTGCACCACTTTTCCACAGAAAGTTTCTATCATTTGATCTTTTTCTTTTTGTAAAAACACATTGCTTTTTTCATTTAAAAAGCGTATTATACGGGCAACTACTTTTGCTCTCAAAAGTCAAAACTAATGCACCGGGTAGGAAGCGACCATTCTTGGTGTACACCTTATACACATCATTACACCCCGTGTCTGTGAAATTTTTTGTCTGTGAATCCCAGTCCACAGACAAAAACTGGTTTATTTTGTCTAGGAAAATTTCAACGGACAAAACAAGCCAGTTTTTGTCGGTGGACTGAATCTGCAATTCACAGACAAAATAAACTCTCACAGACACGAGGTATACTGATGTGTATAAAAAGGTGTACAAAAAGAATTTTTGTTTAGGAAGTGATGCAACTTTGTCCGTAATTTTTTAACCCATGGTTTCCCGTTGGTTCGTAATTACCTTTAGCGTTTCATCCAAGACTCCAAGTTCTGTTTAAATAGAGAGTAGGGGTGCTGTCTGTCTTTCGTTTGTTCATAATTACACTAAACATTTAGAGGGGGAGAATAAAGTGGTTGTATAGGCTTTTGGGAGTCATCTTGCTAGGAATATACTGCGATTTCATGTTACAAATCACTCCCTGGTCCTTTACTCCGACCATTGTTTCACAGCGTAATTACATTCATTTTCCAGGCACTAACTCTTAATTACCTTACCTGGAGTTTGAGAGTTTCCTTTACACAGTGAAAAACAAAACAATTCATTTTGAACATACATGGTGGAAAAAATGGGGATACAATAATTAGTTGAGAGTTATAAATATATATCAGATGGAGGGAGGATGGCTCTTCTCAAATCTGTAGTGGCTTCCATGCATTATATCCTTCACCCCCTTTCCACATCAATACTTGCAGTTCACCGCCGCAAATATCTACAGATATTTCAAATGTTACAAGGACATCCGAGCATTAAGTTTAACATATATTTTATTTTATATATACCCGTCTTGCCAGGTAAATACCGTCACTTTGAAAACTGCAATATGGAGCTTTACATATACCATACTTTGAAAGTAAAGCCAAATTTTCAGAATCAGCATTGCTGCAACTTCACCTTTCAATTTGGACCGCCCTTCCAGTTCCAAGCTATGTTTGTCTCTCCGTAAGTTCTACACAAAACGCAGATCCAAAGACAACACTAAAGAAAAGCAAACGCCATGAAAGGTGAAGGTCTCTAGCTTCTATCTTTAAGAAATATATATCCACTTGAGGTTCAAGAAATATATATCCATTATGTCTATACAACAGGAATAACTCAAGAGGTTCAAGGGTAAACAAAAATTCAGTGTCTTGTTCCAACGTACCCAAATTCTAAATAAATCTACATAGTACTCTTTCCAGCGAACTAGATCCTAGACAATCTTAGTATTACAACATGTCTCTCTAATCAAGTCTTTGATACACTCTAGGAAGGACAAGAAGTAATTAATCTAAACAGTACGGAGTATATTATTTTTAACGATAACGCACATCAGCACTGGAGTTTCCAGAAAGCAAGATTGACTTTTTCAAATGGAGTATAACTTCATTTGTTTTTTTTTTGTTTAGATACACTCAACCAGTACACCAGACTAAAACTTGCACTCTTTTTTTAGAATTTTTAAGTTCATGATTACAAATAATCAGAAGCAATAATTATCTGCTAATACCAAACAACATAAATGACATGTGAATCGCTTATCAGCCACATAGGAAAGAAATAGATCAGCATCTATTGTATGTTACCTTGGAGTTCTCATATGAAGCAGTATGAACACAAATGCAATGAAGATAAATGTAGAGCCCACATAAATATAGGCCACTCCGAGGAAGTTGTTGTGGCCTCCCAGCCAGTTAGATGTTGAAAGAACAAGTTTCTTCCGCCCACCAAAACTATAGGTATTATAGTTGTTCAAAAGCTTCACCACTATAACATCACCTGCATGTAAGTCTTCCTCAACTCTTCCATATAACTTTCGGAAGCTTGGGAGGGCAGCAGTTCGCATCCATACAATAAGATCTTCCTGATCACTCAGCTAGTTGATGGTTGAAGCCAAACACACAAAAATAGAAAGATAATTAAAAAATATGAAGTAAATGTATAGATGACAATAAGAAATTCAATTAAGGGAAAAAGGTGTAAGATGAAACTACATGTGACTATTTAGTTGAGACTAAGAATATAAATGATAGAGTACATGGGCTCGGATCCACGGCACACACACTCTTGGATACACAATGGTCCAAGCCCATGACATTACTGAGGGGTCCAACTAACAAGTCCAGTCCAGAATGAAGAAACGGACTCTCTGTCCGTACAGTCACCTCAGTAGGCGTCACCTCGGTCAAAGAACACCTGAAGATCACCAAGGAACTACAATCACGGGTCCCGAGGTGCACCCCTACACCTCGGCCATCCACACCTCAGCCAACAGAGAGCATTTGGTCAGAGGTCAACTAGAGAATGACATGTGTCAAGCTCTGCAGCACGCCAAGGCTCTCGCTCATAGAACAGTCGACACGTGTAGTGCATTTAATGCACCGCGACTCATTTATAACTACTATAAATACCCCCCTTGGGGGAAGATGTAAAGGGTCTGAATCCCATTAATTGCAATCTCTTTCTCTCTCTAAACTTAGCTCTCTAGCAATACCACTAGCGGTTTACCGGGAAGCTATCAATAAACATTACTCAAGGGACTCCTGTCATTTCATTTGGTAAAAGACTTTTTTGGGGTTCCCAGTTTACAGGAAAATGATGTACATACTCGGGGAATACAGAATGAAATTTCCAGTTTGTATTGTTTATATACGTAATGTGCACGGTTATGTACTTACTGGAATACACATGAGAAGATGACACAGTATATTAAGCAGCTTCGAACCTGACAGCTCAAACTTTAAAGTATAGAAAACCGAAGTCCATGAGCATAAGAAAACGATATTTCGACTACACCAACGAGTATTTGGTGCTTGAGTGCTTCTTTGGCCAAGCATGAGATTCTTCAAAAAGAAACTCTTGTCACTATTTTAGCAGCTTCTTGAATAAAGAAGCTTTTGTTCTTAGCTATCATAGGCAGCCTTTGTGTTATTATTTTCTACTTCAAACTTGGAGTAGATAGGTGGGCTCCAAGTGTTGTCTTCCCTTTTTTTCTCAAGTGTGTGTGGGTGAGTGGGGGGGGGGATATAATGTTGTCATAACTTCTACAGCAGAATTGCCAAAAGATTAAGTTTAGCTGATTCTTAGTCAACTGTTTGAGCATAAAAGTTAAATCTTACAGGAATACTAGGATCTAACTTCGCGCCACCAATTAAAGACCCATTCTGGAAGTTATACGGATACACATGCTTCCCAAATTTGTGATCACGGTCACTCCTCCATGCAATGTTCTTTCTGTTGACTTTTAGTTCATCAACCCCACGGAATAAGTCGTATGTGTCATTAAACACGCTCCACGCAATCAGGCCACACGGGACAATTGGTAGACCATTATTTGTGTCCTCCGGTTTGCAAGAGCCTGTATGGTTATATTTCAGCCCATGTAACAGTTGTTGATCACTTCTGCTTTTTACATACCTAGATTAAGATCGTAAAGTAGAGTAAAAATGCATGGTATAGTACACAAGAATTGAGTTGCTGAAAGAGAAATAAAATGACCAGAAGCAAAGACCAAAGGCGGCATTATAGAAATGGATGACAACTTGTCAGAAACTTCAAGCATAACTTTGATAAGAATTAAAGATTTGAAAAGGCTGTTTAGCTTCGAGGCATTTTGTTTATGTGAGGCAAGGCATAAGCCTTGAGGCGGTATGTGGTGTAAGCTTCAAAGTATACAGCACATAAAAATTAAAGGCTACAAGTTTGTGACACAGAATATTTAGGAAATAAAAAGTCATAAATTTAAAATCTGAATAGCCACTTCGCCACAAAACAAAGTTTAGACTTAGGGTAACCAAAACAAACACAAGTTACATTTAAACACATAACTCAGAAATGAGGCATAGGCCTTCCTCTCATCTTCACTCAAGGTTCATCTGAAGAAACAGTATATCTGAAGTTTCCATTATCTTCATTAGTTACATTTCTATTATCTGAAGAGCAGAACAGTAAAAGCTGTGTGAAGAAAAGTGTGTTAATTTTTATGTGACACGTATATTTTAGGGTTTTTAATGGACTTAAAGAGTGCTGGCTATTGAATAAAAAGGCCCAATATGAATTCCATTTTCAAATGATAAGCCCAGGTGTTAGGGACCCGGTAGAATAAGAGTAAATAAGAAATGTAATAGATAGAGTAGTATAAATAGAAGGGGAGTGGGCAATAAAGAGTAGGCTGTTTCTGACTAATGTCATTCTGGGGGGCTTCGGCTCATTGTTACCTTGTTGCCTTACGTGAATAAAAGTTGCCATTGAGTTCTTGTGTAGATTCTGTGATTGTGTGTGGATTGCAGAGTTCTAACATTGGTATCAGAGAACGTTACTTCCTGGAGACGGAGAATCGAAATCATGGAGGATTTATACATGACACCGCAAATGGCAAAAAGAATGGACAATCTGAATCGTCAGATGGAGGAGACGAACGCTAGGTTGGAAAGTTTCTTGCGTGAATGTGAGCGTCCAACACAGCGCTTCCATCGATTGAAGAACACAGGGCATCATCACCAATCTGACAAACAGAGTTCGTCGCTCACCAGTTCGCAAAAGGAATCGCGAACTTTTTTTTCTGTTTCGCATTTAAGAAGTGATTCGCGCGGAAAGATGGAGAAGTTGCGCGAAGAGATACACAAATTAAGCAGGCCAAGAAACAATCGGAGTTCTGAGAAACAGAGTCCTAACAATGGGCGTTCTGATAAACCATCGCAGTCGGGAAAGTGGCAGGAGGAGCCGATAATTGTTTCGCACTCGCTAAAGGATCCGCGCGGAAAATTGGGGAAACTCACAGAAACGATGGAGCGCGGAAATATGGAGAAGGAGAAGAGCTCAAAATCGGAGAGAGAAAAACGCCCAAAACTGGAGAAAGAGAAACGCTCAAATTTGGAGAAAGAGAAGAGTTCTAAACCAGAGAAAGAGACGCCCTCAAACCTGGAGAAGGGGAAGCCCAAGCTGCGACAAAAATGTCGTAGGCGAGGACGGTCAAGGACAGTGCGTCGCTGCTTGAATTCGAAAAGCAAATACCCTTCTCAGTCACAAGATACTTCTTCCGGTCCTCTGGTTTTGACTAGAGCAGACAAGTCCAGTTCGAAATCTTTATTTGAATTTCCAGAGTCGCAGCAGAATTTGGTTATTCAGCAGCACACCTATGGAAAAGAGGAATTCAGTGATAAACCATCAGTTAATCTTGAACCTGAAGATGGAACAATTGTTGGATTTTCCAGAAGTAAGATGTTTTCCAAATACGATCTTGACCAGTCAGACCTTGAAACCAATAGGTTCAAGCTTCTTCAGGTATGCGATATTTCTTGGCCAAATGTCTGCATGACTGATATGATGTATCGCCAGTCGTCAAACATTGTGTTGGAAGGATTGAACATCGTTTCTATTGTTGATTTGGTTCTCCAACCGTGTCCATTGGGAACTTCTGAAACTGGGTTACTTAAAATCGAGGACATAATTTTAGGGAATTCATGCCTGGAACGAAAGAGATCTGGTCCAGTGGTTCTTAAGGATCGGGTTCATCTTTTTTCTTGGGAATCATATGCCATTATTCAAATTGGGGTAGTGATTTCACATGGAGGTTCTCTAAATTGGAGGGAGGGTGTGAGCAGAGGAAGGCTTGCTATTGCTGACAAAGGGGCTGAAATAGCAGTACCTAATCAGAAATTGATTGCTGAGAAGCATCTTATCACCATGTTTCAAGCAATTTTGAAACCCAAAATTGAAGAGGGACTTTCTAACCATTATAATTCAAGGGATCATCAATACTATTCCCCAGTTGTTTCCTTTGTTCTTGTGAATCTGAAGGGAAGGGATCCAAGTACCCTTGATTCCTCTACCAATTTGTGGGTTGGTTTTTTAACAGGAGCACTCAGAATTTCAGATTCTTTAAATGAGAAAACAGTGGAAAATTTTGTGGAACAACATAATGAAGCAAATGAAAAGGTGAAATTAGAACAAGGTTGGAAAATGGCTATGTCGTATGATGGTGATAGATCTGTCTACGTGCAAGAAAACCAATTTTGGAACTTTTACATGGGAGATGAGCTTTCATGTTCTTTAGTTATGAGAACTGCAGCTGGAATTATGCATCTCATTACTTGCTTGCTAAAACCTTTGAGGTTTTCCTTGTCAAATGAGGTAAGTAAAGAATTAAAAGAGGAAGAAGTTGAAAGGTACGTAAAGGAGTTTGCATCCAATACAGTATTAGTTTCAGACTGGAAAATATGAGGAGCTGCAGAAAAGTGAAGAAATATTTTTTACCATCAAGTGCTGGAAAGAGACTGAATTGAATGAATCTTCACTGCTGATTTCTTCTGCTACTGAAAGTTCTGAGATCTTAAAAGATCTCGTACGAAAGTCCCTAGTCCATCAACCAGTCAAGTATTGGGAAGGGAGAGGCGCAAGGATGAAGAGGAAGCAGAAGATCTTGGCTGCTTCCTATCACCCACCTTGAGGGCAAGGTGGATGTTTAGGGGGGGAGATATGTTAGGGACCCGGTAGAATAAGAGTAAATAAGAAATGTAATAGATAGAGTAGTATAAATAGAAGGGGAGTGGGCAATAAAGAGTAGGCTGTTTCTGACTAATGTCATTCTGGGGGGCTTCGGCTCATTGTTACCTTGTTGCCTTACGTGAATAAAAGTTGCCATTGAGTTCTTGTGTAGATTCTGTGATTGTGTGTGGATTGCAGGGTTCTAACACCAGGATCATATCAGATGTTTAAAAAATAACTTTGAAATTTAAGCCTCAATGAATCTGAGGTGCATGACACCTCAAAGGGTACGCCTTTGAGGCATAAGCCTCAGTCCATCTGACTATCTGAGGTGTATGCCTCATTTAAAATGCCCAAGGCTTAAGTGTCAATGTGCTTTTTTTTGCTGCGTCAAAAATGCCTTTCTAACAACGTTAAGAATATGGATGACTATTATACAAAGTATTTAATTTGTTGTTATTATAACCATTGCATGTTGATGTGGGATTATCACATCAAATTTCCAATATTTCTTTTTCGAGTTTTTTGATTGGATACAGCAGAACATTCAATATACTTTATGCTTTTTAATAATGCACTAGGCCACTTACTAACTAGATCACATGCATTTACTGCATTCAAGTAGTGGACATCAGTTATGACTTATGAGCCATCACAGCACTTGAGATCGTCTCCAGTGAAACAATGTATGGTGCACACATGGCATAAGAGACATACACACAAAAATCCGAACACATACAAATTCTCTCTTTATTTTCATAGTTTCTATGTTTTGGTATCTGTGTCTCTGCAATTTCAAGTATAATGTCTATCACTAGACAATGTGTTTGACATTGGTGAAAAAAAATTACTAAAAAAACTTAAGAAAGGGAGGGAAATAACCGAAATATATTTATATTTTTCTTTTATGTATCCATCATTTATGCCATGTGCATACGGTGCATATTGTTGCAATAGTGATGCTCTCACTAAATGCATTTCCTCCGTGGATTCCATCTATATATATGACTATGTGTGCGCATGCATGAAAGATGTCAAGGAAAAGAAAGATTTGACTTAATTTCCTTATCGTTCCTATGTGATGAAGACTTAACTAGTGGCGGGGTGCCTAATAATAATAATAATAATATTAAGTATTTTAATAAAGTGTATAAGAGAAGAGGAGTTGGGCAAAATAAATAAAGCTGGAACAGTTGTATAACGGGCCCTATATATAGTAAAAAGGGAGAGAGAAAAGTAGGCAGAACTTGGAACTTGGTAGGAGGGAAGGGCACTCTCGAACATGTCCTATTGTATCTCTTTCATTACTGTTTTTATCATTAATACGATTCAGGAATTCCGTCAGATTCTCAATTTTCTGTTATGTTACTCGATACCTATCAATTGGTATCAGACCACCTTCCTGGAACACCTGTGAATGACCTGGACCAGAGCTCGGATGGAACACAGGGTTGAGTCCGTAGAAAACAGCCTTCAGGATGTGCGAAGTGCATTAGACAAGATGCGGAAATGATAAAAGGACTACTATGTTTCAAGGGGAGATTAGTATTGCCTAAGGGATCACCCAGAATTCAGAAAATATTGAAAGAATTTCATGATTCCCCTACTGGAGGCCATGCAGGTTACTTCAAAACCATGAAGAGAATAGCTAATCTCTTTTACTGGTATGGAATGAGGGCAGATATTCAGACTTGTGTTCAGGGTTGCGAAACGTGCCAGAGGAATAAATATCAGGCCTTGAACCCAGCTGGACTGTTGCAACCTTTACCAGTTCCAGATCAGATTTGGTCAGATTTGAGTATGGATTTCATTGGAGGACTTCCAAAAGCAACTGGAAGGATATGTTAGACACTGATAATCGATACTCAGAACAATATAGAAATCAGTAGAAATTGTAGAACAGATCGAAAGCTTTATTCAATCAGATGAACCGAACAGAAGGGATACAGTAGCCACAGACAATTCGAGATGCCCAATCTCCTAGCCCAGTCCTAGCAAAATAACAGCCTAGCATTTTTAGACTCCAGACTTCTATTTATAGTATTTCTATTTATAATACAAGCCCACTTATTATTATCTACAATAATAGGCCCACTTATTATTATTTCTAATAATAAGCCCATTCCTAACCATACTCCCCCCCTAAACAACCACCTAGTCCTCAAGGTGGGTGATAGGAATCAACCATATCTCCCACTTCCACTTCATTCTGGCACCTCCCTTCCCAGTACAACATTGCATTCTGGATCTTTAGCTTCAGTACTAGAAGCTGCATCTTCATGTTCTTCTCTGCAAGGAGCAGCAACAAGGTCCTGGAGTCAGAATGCTCTCTTATGTTGCAAAAGTTTGCATCTTCCAGCATCTGTGTTTCCTGTTGTATCCTTTGCCTTTGTTCCAACATCTTTTCAAGAGAATTGACCTCACTTTGCTCAAGACCTTGAACAAGTTCAAAAGCATCTGATCTCTCGAAGGTATATCTTTTCACAAGTAGATACTGCTCTCTACGTCTCTCAGCCATGAGTTTGATTCTTTCAGAACATATTGAGGATAAGGCACACCCTACTTCCTCACAAAAAACAACATTTATTTGCTTATGAGTATCTTCATCATAATCCAACAGCATCTTCCATAAAACAGAAATAATCTGAGGAGTTTCATCTCTAAAGGGATAACAGAGCAAACCAGCTTTAACCTTTTCAAGGACACCCATCCGAACTTCAGCTGTTCTATCAGTAGACATCTTTAGGACTTCCAGAAATACTGGTTGAAAAGCCTCCTTGATTATATATTTGGGCATAGCAAAGATATCCTCCAGCAAGCTAACCACTTTTATTAATGTATCCCTCTGAACAGTCTCCTTGAATTGCAGCATGGAGGATATACAAGTGTAGACTGCTCGTTGACCCCCATTAGCAGCCCCTGTCAAATACTTGCCGGCTAGCTTCAAGTCCCTTTTAACCCCATTAACAACGACATTTGCTACCCCAAACAATCTTCTCATCTCAAATGCATTCATTACTAGATTTGGAGTTCTACTGGCAGACTCAACATCAATTGATAATAAAGCTCTATTTCTTTCAGAAAAAATGCAATCACCTGAAGGTCCTCCTGAAAATACGGCATCTGATGCTTTTTCCTCACTTTCATCGTCGCCCTTAGTGCACTTCTCTGCATTTTCTCTGACAAAAGAAGCACTCATATCATCAGAGGATGGTTGCTGCTCCCTTACAGACGCACAGTGAGAAGTGATTTGCGACATAACCTGCGAACTGGGGATTTCTGCTCGTGGCAAAGTTGGCGAACTTGTAGAAGGTGCTTGTGACTGAGACGACACCTGAGAACTGGAAGCTATTGTTCGCGACAAAGCTGAAACAGTTTGCGATGATATCTGCGAACGGGAAGCTTCTCTCGATAGAGTCTTACTTGGTCGTGAACTGCTGGTGGATGATGAAGTCCGTGATTTCGAACTGTGAGAAGAAATCAACTCAGGTTGAAATCTACGAATGATAGATTTCTTCAGAGTGTCCCAGTTAGTTTCTTCAGTCCGGTACTCCCACGAATGAAACCAATTCAAAGCCCTATCTTCCATAGCAACCCTAGAAGCTTCAACCTTCTCTTCTTCTTCCATGTCATTTAACCGAAAATACCTCTCCATTTGTATAATCCAGTTATATGCTCCCTCGCCGTTAAACAATGGTAAATCTATTTTTCTGCAGGTGTGTACAGGTATTCTCGTATGTTCATCACAATGACGATGATCGTTGACCTTAGAATGAACGGAATTACCTCTCGAATGTATTGGACTGTGCGACGATCGCGATCGTTGACCACTTTTATCGCGATTCACACCAGAACGAGACTGATCAGAATTTCTCGCGTCTCCCAGTAGCGAAGTGCGATGCGAAGAAACCGTTCGCGACTCCTGCGAACTGGTGAGCGATTTACGATGCGAATAGTGCTACAAGCTGTGCGTTGTGAACGATGGATTCCTCGGTCAATTTTGGTTACTGTTGATCTTCGCGATTGTCTCCTGTAGCATCGCCACGTTTATTGCAACTTTTTCCATCGATTTCTCCATCTTTGCTAGCATATAGATTACTCCCAGCGATTCACGTGATCTGATACCAATGTCAGACACTGATAATCGATACTCAGAACAATATAGAAATCAGTAGAAATTGTAGAAGAACAGATCGAAAGCTTTATTCAATCAGATGAACCGAACAGAAGGGATATAGTAGCCACAGACAATTCGAGATGCCCAATCTCCTAGCCCAGTCCTAGCCAAATAACAGCCTAGCATTCTTAGACTCCAGACTTCTATTTATAGTATTTCTATTTATAATACTAGCCCACTTATTATTATCTACAATAATAGGCCCACTTATTATTATTTCTAATAATAGGCCAATTCCTAACAGGATACGGTGTTGGTGGTAGTGGACAAATTAACTAAATTTGCACATTTCATGACTTTAGGTCATCCATATACTGCAAAAGAAGTGGCTGAGGTTTTTGTACAGGAAATAGTCAGACTTCATGGATTCCCTAAGCCTATTGTTTCAGACAGAGACACAATCTTTATGAGTTCATTCTGGTCTGAACTTTTCAAGATGGCTGATACTAAACTCAAGTATAGTATAGCCTATCATCCACAGACAGATGGCCAGAAGTTGTTAACAGGTGCATTGAGACTTACTTGCGATGCATCACTGGAAACAAGCCTAAACAGTGGCCGAAAAGGATACCATGGGCAGAATTCTGGTACAATACGAACTAACACATCTCATCAAGAACACTCCCTATATGGTCAAGAACCTCCAACCATTATTCGAGGAGATGTTACTGTAACAGCAAATGAAGAAGTTGCCAGGCTCACTGCTGAGAGAAATGTAATGTTGGAAGAACTGAAGAAGACTGTGTCAATTTCCCAGAACAAGATGAAGCAGCAGGCAGATGGAAAGAGAAGAGATATGCAACTGGAGCTGGGGGATAGGGTTTATGTAAAGATTCAACCTTATAAATTGAAGAGCTTAGCAAGAAGGGTGAACCAGAAATTGAGTCCAAGATTTTATGGACCATTTGAAGTGATTGAGAAAATCAATCCTGTTGCTTTCAGACTAAAGTTGCCAGAGGATTGTGCAATGCACCCGGTTTTTCATATATCATTGTTGAAGAAATATGTGGCAATTAAGATACCCTGCCAACCTTTACCTAAATGTCTTTCTGAAGAGTGAGAGTTGCAAACAACCCCGGAAAGGGTGCAGGGAACAAAGGTGAATGCAGCTGGAGAAAAAGAAGCACTAGTACATTGGAAAGAACTGCCGGACTTTGAGGATTCATGGGAACCTGTGAGCAGATTGAAGATATTGTTCCCTACTTGTCACCTTGAGGACAAAATGAATTTTCAGGGCGGACTAATGATGGAGACTTAACTAGTTGGGGGATGCCTAATAATAATATTACTATTCGGTATTTTGATAAAGTGTATAAGAGGAGAGGAGTTGGGCAGAATAAATAAAGCTGGAATAGTTGTATGAGTGGGCCCTATATATAGTAAAAAGGGAGAGAGAGAAAAGTAGGCAGAACTTGGAAGTTAGTAGGAGGGAAGGGCACTCTCGAACATGTCCTATTGTATCTCTTTCATTACTGCTTCTGCCATTAATACGATTCAGGAATTCCATTAGATTCTCAATTTTATTATCTTACGTTCATTTTCTCCTGTATATTACTCAATACCTATCACTATTTCTCCTGTTTGAATGTCAAACTTTAGTTTCATCAAACCCCAGGGACATGTTTGCCTATAAAAGGTAGTAATATAGGGAGTTCATTCAGTTTGGAGATCAAACCATTCTGGTGTTACCCAAAGCTTTTCATGCATCATTGAGGAATATCAAATGAACATTCCATAGTCAATTGTTGGTTCCTTGCCAAGGCAGTGGTTCCTATCATGTGCACACTGGGATTTTATCATGTATATATTTATTCTCTATAGGATAATTTCATTAAAATCAGTGTCATAGATGGCCCCCTCCTCAATAACCAAAAACGAATATAACTGAGAGAGAAACAACATTGCTGCTACACTAACACTGAAACCATTATTTAATCTCCACCATTCCACAAAAAGATATGACAACATTAATAAGCCTGACAACTAATGCTCCCAGTAGGCAAAACTCTGTTCTCAAAACCCTAGCAGACAGTAAATTTAAGTAATTTCTAAGCATACTTTCCATACCAGGGGACAGTAAAATATGTCAATTTCCGTTTGCAATAAAATTGTTATTTTTCATATTATTCAATTGGAGATTGTAATTAAGTTATAGCTGTGATTCATACGAGTTCAAGTAGAGAACCTTACCTTCTGTGGTTTTGATAGTAGTTATCAAGCTGATAATAAACGTATATTGGAGCCTTCATGTGCTTAGGAACCTGTAAAGTAAAATGCAAACAAAAAGATATAAGAATGCAAGGTAAAATAAATGTAATATATAACCCATGGGCCTATTTGGCGTTATTAGCAATCTTGTCTTTGTTTCTCGAGATTCAAGTCTCGAGCAACATTTGCAATTGGCCCTTTCGGACTTGAATATACATTTCAAAAAGTATTTTTGCTCATAAATAAAATGTTTTGAATATTCTTTTAAACTCTTTGTCCTATTTGACCATTGCAATCTATATGGACGACCCTGTTTTATTTAGTATGCTTGTTGGCTAATACAATGTTACAGAGAAAAATAACCTTCAAGTATCGGGTACAATTTTTGGAAACTGAGTCATCTTTGATATATGCCACTTTGCTGTTTCTAAATGGTACAGGTACACACTCGGTATCATACCCGTCGACAATTTCAACAACCTGCAATACAAACATAATTAGTCCTTCAAGGTAGTATGGAGCAAGAAGATAAAGAAAACTCCATATTACTATTGCTATATGTTAAATAAAACTATTACACTTTGTGAAGTATGAAGGAAGAAAAGCCCCATGGGAATAAAGATGAATCCTATGATGAAAAATGTTGAAATGACCTGCAAGGATGATATACCAATGGATCACAATAGTAACATACCAAATACCAAAGCACAGAATTTTGATTGCCTACCCATGCCGGTGTTAAAACAGGTTTACAGGCTGGGAGATTTTGTTGCGTAAACTGGTACACAGCTGCAAGTTATGGATGAGTTTCAATAAGGAAGCCATTAGGATTAGTGACTTTGATCAACCAACTTCAGCGAAGATATATATCATTTGCAAGTCATAGAAATAAAGAAATGCCAACTACAGATTCTATTAGAGTGTCAAACATAAGAAATATGTAGCTGTTTCAACTCCAAAAAACTTGGTAAAATCTTCTAAAATATTCAAGAGCTCTCAAAATTTTAACAACTTCCTATACTTCCCTTATTTTTCCTAAGCCTGCTGTCTTTATGGAAACAACCACTCTAATCCTAGGGATAGATTTAAGGAGTGTACACATCATCCCACTGGACCCTGCCACCCAGTGGGACATACCGGTATGTTTGGTTTGGTTTGGTTTAGTGTGATACAAAATCGTATTGGTTCCTCATAGTCAGTCTCCTCCTGAAGTCCATACAGCACGAGATGCGCATAGATTGACCAATGCTGCAGACTTTTGCGTAGTTGGCAGATTATAATGTCATCGGCAGACTACTTAAGTTGAAGTTACATCTTCATTTTGTGAGTTCAAATAACCTTAACATTAATTCAAAAAATATGTTTATCTAAATATACTGAAGCAAAAGAAACTCAAGAATCAGTAAGGACTTGCCTTTTCTCCAGCCTCTATAAGGAACTGCAGAGGAACTGCTCGGCCCATCCATTCAATTCTATATTTAAATAATCCCTGAACGAAAAAAATGGAGAAGAATATAAAGGTAAAGAAAGCAAACTGGAGTCCAAAGTTAAAATCGCATGCAAATTGATCTGTACAAATGCTTCCTTGAATCGAGCGAAGAAATGAGCAACAACTGTAAAAAATCAATCCAAAATGAAGAGGGCATTGAATAAAGCCTGAGGTAAAAAGGATCGGAATTTCAGTTTTCACCTGGAATGAAATGGTATTTTGGGAGAAATGCGATTAGATATTCGCAAGAGGGGCAAACAAGCGTTGAAAGGCAACGAATTTCAAAAGAAAGAAATCCTCTGGTAAGAGAAAAGCACTTGAAAGTGTATGTACTCGTAGAAACATATACTCGCTATACGTACACTTCCACCGCAGAGGTTCAGCATCAAATGCAACGAGATTGCTTCTACAGCGGTTTTCTTGATTCTCTAGCTGAGAAACTCGGAAGGTAAATGTTGAGTTTGATTTATTTTTCCTTGATGTACCGTATTAGGGAGCATTGAAACTCACTTTTCCTTTGTGTATTTCAGTTATTTTAGCATCTCATTTTTACCCTTGCACTTATTTACCCCTTTCTAGCAGCTTCTCTCTTTAACAATTGATCGTCTTTCTCCAGACGCAATCAAAGACTCACCGCTGCCACATCTCACCTTCTCCCTTGCGCGGATTTGCCGATTTCGTCGCAGGCCACCTTCACCGCTCCGCCTTCATCGCTCTCGTCTCTGTTTTCATCGCCTCCGCCTTCCACCATCATCGTCTTTATTTTCCTACGAATCTCAGGTTTTTCACTTCTTCCCCTTCTTCTTCTCCTTCTTCTTCTCCTACCCCTTCTCCTTCATCTCCTTCTCCTTCTTATACTACTTCTTCTTCTTTTGATTTTGATTTTTAACATTGATTTTTCAGATTTTACTCATACTCTTCTGTTTTTATGAGTTTTGGCATTCAATTGGCCGATTTTTGGACCTCTATTTTGTATTTCCGAATCAGATTTTTACATTTTTAAAAAACCTTATTTGCTGGAATATTGGATTGTGGCATAAGATTTTGCCAAATTTATGGCAGAAATGTGTGCACTGACAATGGATAATGGCAGAATAGATTTCTGTAAATCGGTTTTTTAATTTTTTGGTCATTAGTTGCGTATTTGTGATTTTCCATTGTAATAAAGTGTTTATTCCTTTTGAAAAAATTACTTTTTGAATATTTGGTTGTTGAGTTCATATGTTTGCCAAATTTATGGCACTTTTGGGTTATTCTTCCAAGATAAATCTGCCAACCTTGTCAGCAGATTTAAGAGTCCATAGAAATGGAAGATTTAAATTGATCTTGAAGACCAAATCTGCCAAATTAATGGCAGATTTATGGCATTGGTGTTGTGGAGGTGGTGGTGGTATTTGGAATTGCAGTTATGGCTTCTAATGAAACTCTCATGGTTGTTTTGCTAACAGGCAGCGACGGTGACCAGAGTGGGTGGTGGCGGCGGTTGGGGATGACAACGGTGGTTGGGGTGACACCGGCGTGGGCAGCAGCAGCGGCCGCAGTGACGTGGCGGCGGCGACAACGGCGGAATGAGCCGAGTTTTTGCGTATCTCCGGAACGAACAGCACTTGGTTGAGAGTCAACTTCTTGCCCGAAGTCATCTTCAGGACCACTTTGCCCACGCCTTCAACCGCGGAATGAGCCGAGTTTCCCATCCACACCTTCTCACCATTTGATGGCTCAAAAGTAGTGAATAACTCCCGGTTTGAGCAAATATGCCGGGTTGCACCGGTGTCCACGAACCACTCCTTGGAATTGGATCCAACGAGGTTGACCTCGGTCACCACAGCCGCAAGGATGATGTCTTCATCCTTTTGCCCACCTTGCACCAAGTTCACGTGAGAATCTTTCTTCTTCCTTGGTGCCTTGCAATCCGAGGACTTGTGTCCATTCTTGTTGCAATTGAAGCATTTTCCGTTGAACTTTGTCTTGGAAACGCCTCCCTTGGGACCGAGCTTGCTCTTCCCATTATTTTTATTTTTGGAGCCCTTTGCATGCTCCACCACGTTTGCCTTGGCGCCGTTAACGATTGGGAGTTTCCCATCGTTCTTCCGGTTATCCTCTTCAATCCGCAGACGGAGGATCAACAGCTCCAAGTTCATTTCCTTTCGCTTATGCTTAAGGTAGTTCTTGAAATCCTTCCAAGCCGGTGGCAATAAATGGATAATTGACGCCACTTGGAAAGACTCACTAACTGTCATTCCTTCATCTCGAATTTCGTTGAAGATCATTTGCATTTCCTGAACTTGACTCAAGACCGTCTTCGAATCCACCATTTTAAAATCAAGGAATCGACCAACAACAAATTTCTTTGCGCCGGCATCCTCACTTTTATATATAATTATGGTCCAAAGCATTCCATAGCTCCTTAGTTGTAGCTAATTTGCTATAAACGTCGTACAAAGCATCATGTAGCCCGTTCAACACGTAGTTTCGGTAAAGGAAGTCAGAATGCTTCCAAGCTTCAAACACGTTGAAAGATTGCGCATCGACCTCACCCCCGGTTGCTATTGGCGCATCTTCGGTCAAGAACCTCGCAAGACCGAGAGTAGTGAGATAGAAGAGCATCTTTTGCTGCCACCTCTTGAACTTTAACCCGTTAAATTTTTCGGGTTTCTCCATAGAGTTGCTCGGCACGGTAACCATAGGGATTGCCCCTTGGTTGCCCAAAGTAGATGCACCGCGTTGTTAACCATTGTTCACCGGTGCTCCACTTTCAGAGTGATTATCGTTCGGCACGTTCTGCCCACCAACATTTCCAATTTCTTGAGAAACCATTTTAACGTTTTCAACGTTTTACGAAAACACAGAAAAATAAGTTTGTTCACCAAAGTGACAAACTACGATTTAAGATTGTATCCGTGTGATACAAGCTTGAAAAAAATATGTTTTAAGATTGTTGGGTGTGTTTCGGAAAAACGAAGAAATATTAATTAAATAAAATAGCTAAAAGAAAACAGAAAATAAGATGGAGCAGATTTTAGCCAGAGCTCGTGCTACGCACGATGTCCTTAAAACGTATTCGTCGCCTCCCACGGTGCTAGGAGCGTTGCAACGACCATTTCCCAGGATAAGGTGGGTAACGAACGATCGTTTGAAAACACAAACGAAAGTCCCGACGAACTGGAACAATAGCAGAACACTAGGGAAATTTCGGAGTAGCTGGAAGTGTTTTTAACTCAAGAAAACGTGAGGAATGTATTGTGTGTTGTCAAACCGTGTGTTTGTTGCAAAGCACCTGTCAGTCTTTTATAGGAGGATTTGTTGTGTGTTAAATGGGGTGTTAATGGACCTGAATCATCCATAAACTATCCATTTAACGCTGCATTAAAAGACAAGAACGTTGGGCATTCAATGGTTGTAACGACTTGGAGCATTTCTGGTGTGCGATCAGAATACCCCCATCAGAGTTGGAGCGTCTCTGGTACGAAGCCAAAACGTTACGGGAAGAAACAAAAATTAGACCGTATCTCTGAATGATAGGTTTTCAGACGACATTCGTGTCCGCAGGTCGCCCGCGCACACGAGTCGCGGTTTTTCTTCTCCGTTTCGGGATTTGATCGGCACCCCCCCTGCGCGTAAGAGAGAGCCTTTACCTTTAGGAATCTTAACTCTTTAAAAGATGTTTCCCTTTATAAGGGGGTGAAAATCCCTTGAGTTTTCCGGTGTGGGATAAAACACACTAGAAACCCATCATTTTCCCAGTTTTTCCATTTCAACGAGTGAACTTCGAGAATCAATTTCTCATTCACCCGTTATCCGTTTTGAGTGTACCACATATCGAATTGTAGTCCTTAACAAGGACAATCCGAAACCACTTTGACCCGACCCAAATCGGAAGTGGATCCCACTCAAATAATTGCCCCAAATGACCATTTAATGGAATTTTAACACATCTTTTCAACAACTCTAACTTGAGCGCCGCTAGCAAATTGGAAGAGAGTAAATACCTTTGCCTCCTTTTTCACTGTGTTCGTCTTCGAGAATACAGCACCGCAACGAGTTCTTAGTTCAAATACGTTTAGACGATGTTCTCCGTTTAGTTTCACCCTTCAATTCTTCCGCCAAAAAATAAAGCTTCACCACAGGGATTGATATGCAATAAATGGGTTTCGTATACTTGTTTAAAGAATCCATACGTATCATTTTGATTGGTCCAACAAGGCAGAGGCACGGTACCTGCTGAAAAATAACGGGTACCGTAGAAATTTCCTTTTTACTATCCATTTTTTTCACTCTTTAGGGGAATATATAGCAGCATCCGTATGTTTTTGTCGATATAACAACAACAACATCCAAGCCTTAGTCCCAAAAGATAATGGAGTCGGCTAACATGAATCGATACATGATATCAGCACCAAAAGGAAAAGAAAGGAAATAAAGATAAAAAAGATAAGCTATTATGAAAAGATAATATAAAAAGAGATGAATATACATAAAAATGATAAATAAAAAGGATAAAAATAATGCTTATATATATAAGGATAAAAAACAAGAAAAAAGATGAGGGAAAAAGACGATATGAGATCACTCCTCCACATGAATACACGCCCTCCACTCTAGCTCTCTCTAAAATCATGCTCTCATCCAACCCCAGAAGAAGCATATCACTTCGAACTCCCCTAACCCACGTCTGTTTGGGTCTTCCTCTCCCTCTCTTCTCTGCCTCTTCTCCACACATCTCAACTCGTCTGACAGGTGCGTCACTCGGTCTTCTACGCACATGACCAAACCACCGTAGGCGCGACTCCCGCATCTTGTCTTCAATAGGTGCTACTCCCACCCTGTGTCTGATTGTCTCATTCCTCATGCGATCCTTCTTAGTATGCCCACACATCCAACGCAGCATGCGCATCTCTGCCACACTCATCTTTTGAATGTGACATTGTTTCACCGCCCAACACTCTACGTCATACAGTAATGCATGCCCAATTGTCGTCCTATAAATTTACCCTTCAGTCTAGTCGACATACCTCGATCGCATAGAAATCCTGACGCACTCTTCCATTGAATCCACCATGTTCTGATTCTATGGGATACATCTCCATCTAACTCACCGTCCTTCTGAATTATTGAGCCCAAGTAACGGAACATATCGCTGACTGGTATCTCCTTACCATCCAGAGTAATTCCGCTATTACCATTGCTTCTACCTCCACCAAACTTGCACTCCATGTACTTTGTCTTGCTTCGACTTAGTTTGAAACCCTTATTCTCCAATGTTTGTCGCCATACTTCCAACTTTGCTTTAAGACCTGATTGCGTCTCATCAATCAATACAATATCGTCGGCAAACATCATGCACCACGGTATATCGTCTTGAATTGACTTCGTAAATTCATCCATGA